GCAGTTTCTTAGGGAAGGAGAAATGTCTGTCATAAAAGGCATGTGTGAAGTAAAATAACTCCCACCAAAACCAGGGAGGTTAAACTGAACTGACACATTTCTGAAATAAATCTGTGCTTAATGTGCATTCAGGTTTTAAGATCCCAAGCAGAAGCTGGAGGCAGTCAAACCCCAGAGTCACGTTCATGCTTCCCTCCTCAGCTAGCATGACCCTGTTTTGTGGAGTTAATGGAAGAAGGTTGTACCACATTTAAATGTTCATAGCCAAGATCAAGGAGTGCTAAAACTGAATGCTGGTCACATGTCTTGGAGTTTAAAATTGGACATAAACATTGCACTGATTTGGAGGAAGGAATCTTCCTCAGGACAAAGGACAAGGTTGAGGAATCCTTTTGCAACGAGCCCCAGGGGATGCTGCAGCATCCTCAGCCCATTGCCATCACAGAGTTTAGAACAGACACAAACTGGGAACAATTTGGCAAGAAAGATAATGGGACCAGTTGGGATCTGTCATCAGCATACTGGGCACTGCAAAAGAGTGATTAAATAGGAAGACACGGACAATTATCAAACACTAATTGCTTATTGTTGCTAGAACTAGATTTTAAATGTGTTTTTCTTTTTAATTGCTTTTGGAGCAAAAAAAAAAAAAAAAGTGTCCTTAATTTAATTCTAAAATGTTTGGGAATGGGAAGTCTGCCAGGAACGGGGCAGCTCTGAGGTCCTGTGAAAGCAATTGCCTCTTTCACCAGCCTACATTCATGTCCAGTTATCCCATCCTCTGCCAACTTTCCTGTTTTCTGGTTCATGCCCCGGTGTTGGCTGAAGGTCTCTGGGTTGTTCCAGGTTGCAGGAAGCTGCAATAGTTTGTTCATATCCTTTTCTGTATTTTTCATTCACCACTGTCCAAGGGCCTTGACCCAAAGAGGAGCTGAACTCTTCAGGTCCGCAGGGGGTTTGGAGAAGCAAAAGCTGAGTATGAGGGCAGTTTTCAGAACACGACTAGCAGTGGTTGACAAGGTGAGATATCTGTGTAGTCTGAAGCTGTTACAACACAAACATGTGTATACCTCTATGCTCTGGTGCTGCTGACTGCAGGGAAGTTCAGCAGGGGCTGGATTTGCCTCACTATTGTGTCAGTATAACAGTGAATGAATATGAGGATGTTATTCCAAATTAAGATGTTCAGGTTTGGTGCAGGGAGCAGGTCCACATAATAGACAGAAGGTTTAATGCAAGTATCTAAGAGGGTCTTGTGTTATTAAATAACCATTCAGCATTTTCCTGATGAAAGTGACAGGGAGCACAGTTTCTATATTCATAGAAATATCTTTTGTATGGATGTATTCAGCTCTGAAACGGCTGCAGGACCTCATCATGCACAAATAAATGTAACCAAATCTGCCTCTCTGTGTGCAAATAATTTGCAGGAATGGTTTGGAAAATGAAAGGAAACTGCTCTACATTAGGGAGAACAAGTGCAAAGAGGGGAAACAGAAGCAGTGTTTAGGTTCATACTTCAGAGGAACACAGGAAAATCCAGGGGTCCTGTTGTCTCAACAGAATGCCACATGTCACCTGCTCCTCTGAGCTGCCCCAAAAACCAGAATGATAAATGTGGTGCTGACTTGACTCAGAGCATGAGGGGAGGGATGGGAAACTTGCTTGTGTAGAGACTGCTCTGTACAGAGAGTTTGCCTCTAGTACAGACGTTTTCCTCCTTTCTGATCTTTTCATGCAGCTGCATAAAATAAGATCAGAAATTGAGAGAATTGATTAAACCTATTTCTGAATAAATGATTTCAAAAAGAATTCCCTTTTCAGTGTTAAGTTCCTTGCAAAGTCCTGAACAAATAGTCTTGTAAAAAAGGTTAAGGGAAAAAAAAAGAAATATAGAGAAGTTGTTCCAGACATCATGGCTGGCCCTTTCTGTGTTCTTTTAAGGCAATTAGAAGGAAAGCTGTCCTGGGCAAACATTTTAATCAGCTGTTTTGAGATGTTTTGAGCGCAGAAAAACGGAATCATTCCATAAGATCTTCATTGCAGCAGCTCTAGCATGGCTCTGGGCCTTGGCTTTCCTCCATCAAAGTACCTGATGGGCATTATCCAGAAATGTCAGTGATGCTGCTGCTCCTCTCTCCTGCCCAGGCCATGGCTCTCCTGGTTCACAGACCAAGATGAGTGAAATTAGTATTTTTTAATTAACAATTGCAGTGGTTGATTGGCAGAGTACCCTAACTATAACAGCAAAGCTAGGCAAGACTTCATATTCTTGATTTTCTGGTTTTTCTTTTATGTGAGCAGTATTTACTCATCTGGGCATCTCATGCCTTGAGTTTTGTTGGCCAACTTGTTTGTGCAAAGCCATTTCTCTGTGAGGTGTTTGCTCAGAGTCCTCAGAGCAGCAGAGAATGGCAGAGGCCAGTGCAAGTGCATCAGCTGGGGACTTAACATCCAATTTAAAGGGAAATATCCAATGGAAATTTCTCCATCCCTCCCCTATAAAGATCAGCAAAGACACCCTGCCTTTCTCTGCAGTCTGTTTTTTTTTTTTTTTTTTAAATCAGCTCAAAAATGAGTGAGGAGAGAAAACATTGCTGGAACATGCATTTCCACTGGGATTAAATGTATTTGTATGTGGCTTTCCAAAATTAAACTTGGACAGTGGCAAAGAGGGACTTGGGTGTGAAAATGCAATTAGTCATGACTCAGGACTCTTGATATGCAGGGGGACCAATGAGTTCTTGCATGGGACCTTGACAAAGTGGCAAGAACAACTTACTGTGTGTTAATATGAGCAGAGTAAATAACACAGAATGTTATTAATGTTTGGTGTTCAGTTCCAAGCAGCTCCTTTGGGTGATGTAGACACAAGTGCACCTGGCAGGTAAAGGTAAATGATGTTTTTCTTGTGGAATAGTCATTGTTTTCCTGATAGCAACATTCATTCCCTTTTCTTGAGAATTCTGAGGTCCTGAAAGAAAGACATTATAAGAATACTGATGTGTTATTTTTACATAATGGTCTCTCACAGACTTGCTGTGGTGGCAATAAGCATCACCCATCAGCTGGCCCATGAAACAGCTTTTCCATCTTAAAGATTAATTCATGGAGATCCTAAAAGGCTTGGCAAAGGCTGCCAATGAAAAAGCAAGGCTTTCCAATCACCCTTCTTAGTGGTTGTAGCAGCCTCATCCTCACCTTCCAAAATGTGTTGGATACCATTTTCTCTCTGGATACAATAATCATTTAGGGAAGGACCTAGAGGGAAAAGAGAATGGTCCTGTGCCTGTTCATTAATGTGTGGCAGAAATAATGCCTGTCCTTTTTTTCATGGCTGTCAGGCATTGCAGGGTGATTTTGGCACCCAAGGATGCCAACACAAGTGGGCATTGTAGGTAAATGAGCAGGAAAAGGGGTGGGGAGGGCAACAGTCTATTGGTTTATTGCATCACTTCAAAAATGATTTAACTTTTAATTAAAGGAGTTTGGGAGATTGCTAGGTCTTTGTGCTTCCCCCCCTTCTGTCATCCAGATTTTATGCTGCCACTTTTAAAATGCAATTTTTATATGCAATTGGAATTTAACTTGGTCCTTCTAATTTTCTCAAGAGCTGTTTCTCTCGTATCTGAATCTTCATAGGATGGAGACACAGCCACGACTGATTTCTGTGCTAGTGACTGCATCTTCTGATTCAGAGCTCCTGTGCTCTGAAGCCAGTAATGATTCACTCTCACAGCAGTGGTGTGAGCAGTCTCAGCTTTTCTGTGCCATCTGTGTGAGGGAGCTGAATCTGCAGAAACGGGACCCTGTGCACATGGCTTCTCCTCTGCTCATGGGTGAAAATATTAAAGCAAATCCGTCTGGTCCATGAGATGTTTTCTGTGTCAGGAAGGGAGTAAAGCTGCCTGTCAAACCAAGCTGTTCTCCCTGATGAAAGGGGGCTGTTTTTAAACACTCCTTTCCATAGTATTTTGCACGCCAGCCATGTGTGCTCTCTCATCTGACATCTCATTGAGATCCTTGGCTCTGGTACTGCAGGAGGGAAGTGTGTTCTGGGAAGGAGGGAAATTATCTCTCAATATGTACACAAACACATGTGCACACACACACACACTTTTAAATCAATCTAAAAGAATTTATTTTTTCTAATTTTTGATTTTTAGGAATGAGAAAAAAAATTAATCTGGTTGAGCCAGACTTAAATGCTTCCCTTTTGCTTGGATTTTCTATTTTCTCATTAAGATATTAGAAAGAAATGCTCTGAGCTTTTATTAGATACAAAGGTAGAGATAGAGGGCAAAGCGTTCGTTTACAATTCCTACAGCAGACCATTGAAGCTAAGAGGCAATTGATGAGCAGCTTGAAAATGTAGATTCATCCTCTAAGCTTAGGGAGTATTTCCAAGGGTTTGTGATGGTCTGGGGATCTAACCCTTTGCACAGGAGTAAAACCCACTAGGTGGAGAAGCAGAAAACAAGTGGGTTGTTGTTTTTTTTTTTTTAGTTAATGAAAGGAGTCACCTTGCAGGGAGAAGCTTGGAAACAGAAACTGATATAAAGTCATGAATTGATATAAATGCACTGCTTTTGAAGGAAGCAACTGGACTTCAGCTCTGTGCCAGGAGATGGGGAAGCACAAAGGTTATCCACAGACACACATTCTTTGTGTTTTGGTATTGGAACCAGGACATTCCTCTGGCTGCCCTGGATGATTCAAGACCTGGCAAGGGACTCAAAGATTTGCAAGCCACAAGAGTTTGAGAAAAATGATAGTTAATGTATCAAAGGGTGAAAAAGTAGAATTTTGGGGATTTAGAATGGGGGTTCAAGAAGCAAGATGGAGGAATCTAGGCATGTCCTTCTTCTTCTTCTTCTTCTTTTTCTTTCTTCTTCTTCTTCTTCTTCTTCTTCTTCTTCTTCTTCTTCTTCTTCTTCTTCTTCTTCTTCTTCTCCTCCTCCTCCTCCTCCTCCTCCTCCATCTTCTGCTGTGATGGTGACACTTGGTGACACTTTTTGATTGGTTTAGTATAGAGACAGACTGTCTAACATAGGTGATAGGTATTGGAAAGTTATTGTAAATAAGTACATGTAGTTCTTAGTATAAAAAGTTAGCACCACCCAAAGGGCACATGCTGTGCCACAACCTGACCTGCAGGACAGATCTCAGCAGGTCAGAGAAAGAATGTAATAGATAAGAAAAAATAAACAACCTTGAAAAGCAGAACCAATGAATCTCGATTTCTTCGGTTGTGGAGCTGGGAAAAAGAGACTTTCTGATACCTCAGGGTCATCTCAACCACAGAAACCTGAGATTTTGAGAAACCCAAGTCAGTTAATGCCTGATAGTGGGATACCATTATAACCCCTACTTCACCTCCATGATCTCAGGGCAATACTGCAAGAAGCAGATTGATCATGTTGGGCAGGACAACCCATGGTATTAGAGTGTGCTGCTGCAGGAGAAATCCAATGCCATAAAGGTTTTCTAGCCCTTCCCTAAGATGCGGTGATGATTATCACTTCCTTTCAGAGAATCACAGAGATGGGCAGGGACCTCTGGAAATCACTGTGGTCTCATCCCTGCTCGAGCAGGGCCACCTAAAGCCCCTTGCCATGGACCATGTGCAGATGGGTTTTGAGAATCTGCAAGGATGGAGACTCCACAGCCTCCCTGGGCAATCTGTGCCAGTGCTGGGCCACCTTCACAGGAAAGGAATTATTTCCTGGGGGTCAGAGGGAAGATGCTGTGTTTCAGTGTGTGCACACTGGTCCTGCCACGGGGCAGCACTGAGTCAAAGAGCCTGGCTCTGTCCTCTCACCTCCTTCCAGGTGTTCATCTATGTTGCTGAGATTCCCTGGAGTCTTTCCCAGCCTGAGCAGTGCCAGTGCTCACATCCTGTCCTCGTGGGAGGGATGCTCCAGTCCATTAATCCTCCTCATGGCCCTGCATTGGAGTCTCTCCAGTGTGTCCCTGTCTCTTGTAATGAGGAGCCCAGAACTGGACTCAGCACTCCAGGACTCTTCAACAATGCTCTAATTGTCAAAAAAAAAAAAAAAAAAAAAAAAAGAGAGAAAGAAAGGAAATTTTGGAACAGGGGCTGTTCCAACTGGGACACCAGCACTGGTTTTGGATAGCTTCAGCTTGAACACTGAAGGGTTTTTTTTTTTTGTGCTCTTTTTGCCAAACCTCTTGTATCTAACACTGCTGGATTTGGGCAGCTCTGGTTGAGGAGAGGTTTTCATCTGGGTACCTCAGCTTTGCTGGCCTGACCTCTGGAATAAATGTTCCTTTCTGAACTTTTTTCTTCTTTGGCAATAACTTTAGTTTGTTTTTTATCCAGTGGCTGTGTTGAGGCTTGTTCAGTTTGCCAGGCTAAAGGGCATCACAAGAACATGCATCATTTTGCACTTTTTGTCCAAGGCAACGAAACAAAGCAAAGTTAAAAAAATCATTTTGGTATAAATTTTTTTTCTGTGAAAACTCCTGGAGCATAAAAATAGTGTCTTTCCTTGAAGAGGGGATATTACTAATGTAAATCCAATGCAGAGGAATAATATGATGCATGTCAAAAGGCAAGGATCCAAGGAGGAGCAGGAGTGATGGAAATGCCTCATGGGCATATGAGATTGTGGGGATAGGTATTCATACAAAGGATGCTTTCTTACATGTGCCCAGGGCTTTCTCTTATCTCTGAACATGAACCCATAGTGAAATAGAAATGTTCCTGTATTAATAGTGCATTGGAGATAACCCTCATCTGAAAAATACAGTAATACTGCACAACTGGGAACCCTTTCAGAGCAGGGAATTGGACTGGCAATTTCGTAGTGTGTTGGTAATGAAACATTTTGATTCTGTATAAGCAAATGGGCAAGGTTAATGGACACATTACTCTGGCTGTCATTGTCCCAGCAGTAACCAATTTGGAGGCTTTATATTTTCTGCTGTCCCAGTAAGGGAAAGAAAAGTAGAAAATTAAAAATAGAAATCCCAGAGTGATTTAAAGTGCAAAGAGTGAACAAGCTTGTAGTACTCCAGTATAATTTTAAAATCCTGCTTTTCCTTATAATCAGTATTTTAATTTATGTAATACATTGCAAATTCTGCCAGTATCTGTCCTGCTCCAAAAGCTCACCTCCACACAGAAGGATTTATTCTGGCTGTAACACATGAACATGAGCCTCCAGCCCTGGATCTCTCTAGCTGTTGTTTGTATTGATGGTTCCTGTTTGTATTTCCCTTCACCTCGTGCTGTTGATTTGCAGAACCATGAGAAATGGTCTGTGGCTTTGGCCTTCAAGGGAGGAGGTTAAAAAAATATCTTCTGGTGCCTGTGTATATATCATAATTCGGGTTTTTTCATAGCTCTTTCAACAGCTGTGGACAGATATCAGCCCCTCATGAGCTGGTTTTTCTCAAGCACGTGCCCTTCACAACAGCACAGCACTGAGTTTTCTCTCCCAGGATTAACTGTCCCACACTCCTGGTTCCATTGAGGTTACTTTTTTCCTGTTGAGCCTCCTGCCAAGATTAGTGCAGTTGCTGAAGCAGGTGTCCAGCCTAACAAGGACTTGTCTCCTTGCTTTGCAGACATCCTGGTTGATGGCAAGGTGTGTGACTGCGACGCCGTGGTGACGTGCCAGGTGGGGGACCCTGTGCCCCTGCAGGTGAAGCTGACCAACTGGAGCAAGCACAGCGTGGGGCCCTTTGCTCTCACCATGATGCCCTACCAGGACTACCAGAATGGGGTGCACAACTATGAGCTGCAGGATGCCATCACCTTCGTGGGCTCCAACACCTTCCACATCGACACCGTGAGTTCTTTGGTGACAACTAGCAGCATTTTGAGTGATGTGCATTTGAAAGGGGCTTCATTACTCTATTGTACATTTTAAAACAGATTAATTTTTTGAAATACCCGTGATTATGGCAGCTTTTGCTAACAGGGATGCTGCATTCTTCTGGAATGGTCTCTGAAATGGTTTAAGACTGCAATTTCCTACCATGTAAACCACTAGTAAATTATCAGAGCCAGCAATTTCTGGTCACTCCAGATCTGGCTGAATGTGAATGGGTAACCCTAGATTGAATGTTCAATACCATATTGCCAGTCCCTTGAGTCTCTCAGCACAGCCTGCAGTAATAGATTTTAAATAACTTTTTTTTTTCCTTCAGTCCATAAGAAACATTCCCCAGGCTGAGCCAAGGAACTCAGCAAATCAGCTCTAGTCAGGTCCTGAGGAAACACAACAGACTGCAAAAAGAAAATGCTAAGCATTAATGGCCAATCTGATGAGCTGGTTCATTTCCTGGATGCTTAGCATACTGTTATAAAACCATAAAGAAATGCATAAAATGAGGGAAAAAAAAGGCCTCTTTTTAAAACAATTGAGATTATGATTTTTCTCTCAATTTCTCTAGAAAATTCAAGTCTAGGAGCTTTTTGCTTCTAAGGCAAGAAAAAGATAACACCACTCTCTCCCACATCCCTCCCTCCCAAAAATACAACAACAAAATACCTGGAATGAAAATTCGCAGGCAATGCTGCAGAATGGAATGAGCAGCATTTCTGGTAACTCATGAAATAAACATGAGGAATGGGGTGAGTGTTTGGGATCGTGCTTAGGACCTTTGTTTAGGTCAGCTCTTCAGATTGTTAATAAAATGTACCTGTCAAAATTAAATATATAAGTGAACTTTAGTTAGAAAGAAATGAAAGGTTAATCACAGAGACAGTCACCATGCATATTTTTCAATTATGCATCGCAGAAGAAAATATTTCTAAAAGCTAATGAGCATGAAATATACCATCAGCTCGATTTTTAATGGGGGCTAACTGCATTCCTGTAGCTGAATAATTTAAATATGCCAACAGAAATCATCCAGGGATGGCTTTCTTTGACTCCGGTTCTGACAATGTGGAGTTTTTAATCAGAGTGGTGGTGTTTGGATGCCCAGCTGCCAAAGGGCCTGACCCTCCAGGCTAATGAGGGAAAAGGGAGATGTCAGTGTGATGTATTCTTACCTTCTGATTGAGTCTCCTACGGGGCAGAAAGTCAGGAGGTCGCGTCTCTGGTGCCTGCCCAGGCAGCCTTCTCATACGTTCCGGTCCCTGCCTTTGCCCCAGTGCTCAGGAGTTTGACATTTCTCCTGTAAACACAATCCCCAAGAAGTTAAAAATAGAATTGTTTTCTGCTGCTTGTCCTCCTCTCCATACAAAAAAGGTGAAATGAACAAAATGTCGACTCTTAGACAAGAAGGGTTACATTTCACTGCGTGTGGTGCTGGCACCACACAGGCTCCAAGGGGAAGTGCTTGGTCACCTTCTTTGGGGTGTAGAGCCTTGATTGTGGAAGAAAATCCTTTATGTCTGCCAGAGGCCCTTTCTTCCCTCATAATGACTAATTTAGGAATAGAAAATTGATTTCAGAAAGTTCCACCTGTTTGGGGGGATGAGGTGAAGTCCTGGTTTGTGTATTTGATGCTTCAGAGAAGAGCCACCATGCTCAGAACTGTGCTTTTGCTCTGAGTTTGGCCAAAATTCAGACAGGCACTGGTTAGAAAACCATAGAAGCTCATGGCTGAGTGGGATGAGAGACAACCTGTTTCTCTTTTTTGTAAACAAAAGTTGAGATACTGGACCAGATTCCCTGCTGGTTTTCAACTCAGTGCTGCTGTATGGAAGCTGTAAAAAATGTCTCCATCATTTTTTTAACCTGAGGTCATGGGCACTTGGCTATTTTTCTTGCTTAGTGGAAGTGGCTTGAGGTGCTGCCCTTTCCCAGCTGCTTGTGAAAGATGCTCCCCTCTCCCCCTGCAGGCCCACCAGGACAGATGCTGCGAGAACTTGTTTTTGTGCAAAGTTGTCCAGTTTAGCAAAAACCGCATTGGTCAGCAGTTTAAGTTAATTGGGCTGACTTCACACTGACACTGGCACAAGGATGCTGACATGATTTATTGCAGGGCTGAGCTGGGTGGGAGGGAGGATGGAGGATCAAGTTTGGTTTGGTGCATCACTGGTGCGTGGTCGAGTGGGAGCATCAGGTATTGCAGCAAGGGCAGATACTTCTCACACCCTGAAAATTCTCTCTGTTGTCATGCAGAAACTTCATTATTGGTACAAAAAAACCCCAACAGATCCCTCTGCCTTTCTAAATGTTAAGTCTCATGCTCAAAATTCACTGTTATTTTTGATTCCAGACTAAAAAGTCTCAAAGCAGTTTCTGCTGCTACCTGGAAGACAAAGGACATGTATGGGAATTTTCAGGATGCACCTGCTGCTTTGCAGTGTGAATATAAATTGTTGAAAGTGTAAAAGTCACACAATTTTGTATTTCCCTTTCTTGTGGCTTGAAGTCCAAGTTAGATTTATCTTGGAAGTAATGTAGTGATGCTTATTCACCTCTTTGTGCTTTTACCTCAGTTTGATGCAGCAGCCTGGGTTTGTGTCACAAAGTCTCTGCTGGATATGATACTTCAAAAAGCAAAGTCTTTTCTGGAAAATTTTTGAAGGATATTGAGTTATTTCCATGCATTTTAAATGAAGTAAAGTCTGCATTTTTAAGCATAACTTCTAATTTGGCTAACCTTACTTTTCTCTGTATTTGACAGAAAAAGTGACTTTCCCCATTATGACTTAAATATTTAACATTTTTTATTCAGTGGGTGATTTTGAAACATGAATTAACATGGTGGAACTTACACATTAAAATACAGTGGATTTTTTTTTTGTGTTGCTTCACTACATAAAGTTTATCTTTTACCCTATTATTAATTTTTCTTAGTGCTTACCTCTGTTTTTTGTTGAATAATTAGTTGATCAGACAGAGTTAGTTTTTTTACAAATTGAAACCAAAAATATTGCCTTCTTTGGAGAATCCTGTAACTCCCAGCAATTCATCCTCTCTTGTTGCCCCTGCTTGTGCCATCACTTATCTTCAAGCAGGATTTTTTCCTGTGTGTGTTATCACACGCAAGCTCAAGCAATTGGTAGTGGGAGATGAGGAGAAATTCATTAGTAGATGGTCATTTTGAATCAGCTCAGAAGCCATGGTGAACATTTGCTCACTTCTGGCAGGTCCTCTGTGGCCCATCTGGAACAAATTATTTTTCTTGGCACTGTTTTATTCACACTGTAAACTCTTTGGGGCAGCGAGCAGTAGCTGGCACCAGCCCTAATCTCCAACTGAGCTCCCTAAGTACTACAGCAGTATAAATAAGTAGTAATTAGTTCTAAGCAATCACAGTCCCACATGGTAGCCTAAATCAGGGAAGGATTAGGATGCAGCTAGAAACTTAATTTTTCTTCTATCTTGGTGCAACAAAGGACTAATGTGGACTTTTTTCCCTTGATTTTCGATCATTATTTTCTGAGGTACAAGCTGCTCATCTTTGTTTCCATGAATGGTGGAATTTTAATAAAATCTATTTTAACTCTGCCCTGGCTCAGGAGTATCAGCATCCTGATGAATGATTCAGCAGACACACAGGCACAGGTCTGGGCAGTGGCACAGCAGAGCTGCTGGGCTGGAGGACAACACGAATTTGGTCTGGGTCAGGCACGAGTTGTGCTCCTCATGGCTGAGCTGGGTCAGGCACTGCAGGCTGTGGGGTGCTGTGTCCTGCCAGCCATGCAGGTGACCACCTGAGCAGGCCACTCTGAGTGGCTGAGCAAATCATCAGACTAATGCAGTTGTCTTGGTTTGGAAAGACAGGAGTCTGCTAAGGAAGGCAGGAGCCTCCCCTGAAATGGACAATGTAAACCCTCCCCACCCCTCCAAACTGCTATAAATTTTAAATTAAGGGTCTCTCAGGCAAAAAATATGGGAACAGGAAATAACAGTTCTTTAATAGGGAAGGAAAAAAAAAAACAGGATAAAATAAACAATGCAGTACACTAGAACAGCACTGATAGAGTCAGAACCCAACCTGACCCCCTGTGGGTCAGGGTGTTGGTACCAGTCCAATTGGAAATGTGGCTGCAGCCCTCCTGCAGTGTCAGGGGTGGTTCTGTTGGAGCAGGGCATCCTGTAGAGAAGGATGTATTCTTCCTCCAAAGATCCAGTGGAAGGAGAGGCAGCTGCTGTTCCTGTGGGGAATCCCATGGAGAAAGCCATGCTGGTGTCTCAAAAACCTCTGGATTATATCTGGGTAGCAATGCTTGGCTCCTCCCTCTGGGTGGAGCATCTCCCAATGGGATGTTATAGTTTTTATCAGTCATGCAGTGACATTCAATATTCTGTTATCAGCAATGTCCCCTCCCGAGGGAGGTGTGATTGTGGTCACTCAGAGAGAGAGATAAGGCAAACTGCCCACTTGACAAAGATAATCTGCCATACAGATGGTAATGGAATACATCTTGCAGTGCAATCTGGAGCAGCAGTGTAGGAAACATTTTGCCATTCTGTGTTTGATCAGGTGAATCCTTGTGTTGTACAGCTGGTTTTGATGTGGACATCCACTTTACAGACACTTGGGTGGATTCAGTTCCAGACTGAGACCCCTGGATGAGGAGGGGTTACCAGGGGTGCTGCCCCACTGAGCTCCCATGAGGCCATGGAGATGTGGTCTGCAGCAGGTGGTACCTGCCTCATTAACACAGGGCTGAGATTCAGTTGCCTAAAAGCAGATGTTTGCCATCATACCGGTGCTGTGGGTATCCTACCAGCCACCAGATGCTGCCAGAAATCCTGTGGGACATCCTGGGCATCTTCCCAGTCCTGTGCAGGTGTCTCAGTGCCTTAGATCATCCCATTACCTGTGTTTAGGCAACTCTATTCTGGCTCTGCAGGCTGCCTGGGGAGACCATTCTGTGTCTGCTCCACTGTCTCATTGACTGGGTATCCTCCTTTTGTTGTAGGACCTTGGATACCTTTTACTCCTAAATGTAGGTTTGACCTCAAAATTAGTCCTGTGCCTGGTGTAGCAGATGGGCTGGATGTGACCCTCTGCTGCCCTGGCTGCTGCAGCTGGATGTCTGATCTTTTGGGAATCTTTGTAGGCAGCCCCACTGGACACTCAGCCTTACACATTCCAAAGTTGATTCCTGTTTTGAAGGAAACATCTGGTAACTTCTGCAGAGCCACCCACACTTGAGCAAGGCAAAGGTTTCAAGCTCATTTTGCTTCCCTGTTTCTTCTCCAATCCACAAGTGTTGATGCAGTGGTGGTGGCACAACAGAAGTGGGTAGAGCCCAAACTGTCAATGTTTGGTGTTGATGCCAATGAGCCTGGAGCCACCTCCCTGCTTGCCAAGGGCTCTGAGCTGTGCTGTCACAGACATTCCTCCATGGTGCAGCCAGATCAGGAGGAATGGACCAGGAGCTTGGAACAGCTCAGGGTGCTCAGGAGGCTTCGTTTGCTGTTTGCCTGCACCCACTGCTGGCATTAGTGCCTGCCCCTGCCCTGCTCTGCAGGAAAGGCCACATCAGCTCCAGTGAGGCAGAAATCAGGCAGGCAGCCCTGGGAGAAAGGCAGGGGAGCACGAGGGGACATGTTTGGATGTTGTTCTGCATGTCCAGACGCGGTGCCAGAGGGCAGGAGCTGTTACCCAGCCAGAGGGGAGATGCCAAGGACAGGGTCAGGGCAGCAGCTGTGCCTGCTCTGATCCCTCACGTGGATGACATGATGATGATACAAGTTTGCTGTAGGTCAGCAGAAGTGCCCAACACCAAAACCAAAGGGAGCCTGGGCTCTCCAGCTCTGAGGATGTGAACAGAGAACCCTTGTGCAGGAGCTGCAATTTAGAGTCATGGAAGCGCAGAATGGTTTGGGTTGGAAGGGAACTTAAAGCTCATCTCATTCCAGCAGGGACACCTTCCCCTATCCCAGGCTGCTCCAAGCCTCACCCAGCCTGGCAATGAACACTTCCAGGGATGGGGCATCCATAAATTCCCTGGGCAGCCCGTGCCAGGGCCTCACCACCCTCACAGTAATATCTACATCTATCTATATCTATATCTGTATATGTCTATCTCTATCTCTATATCTATCTATCTATCTATCTATCTATCTATCTATCTATCTATCTATCTATCTATCTATCCTAAATTTCCCCTCTTTAAATTTGATCCCTTCACTCTTTGTCCTATCACTACACATCCTGATGGAGAGCCTTTTCCAGCTTCTCTGTAGCTCCTTCAAATACTGGAA